CTCTGTTTTGGTCTCCACCACCTCACAAGAAAAAGCTGCTAATGATGAATATTTTACATTTTGTGTCATAATCATTTTCCATAATCAAATCATATTTACAAACATTGAGTAGGTGCTTTAATCGGCTTACAAACAAAATGATTAAACCTGAACGTTTCCATCACTACACTACAGAGATGACTTTCAGCAGGGGGAACTGACGTGATCCCTTTGATACGCAAACTAGCAACTCTGAAGAAATTCATTAGTACAGCCTCAGCTCTTAGAAAAAAAAGAATCATTTTTTTTAAACCCAGGCAGGAGATTATTAACGAAATGACAATAAAAGATCATCTTTTTCCAAACTTTTGAAATTCCAGAAAATCAAATACAAAGAAAAGTGTCAGAAACAGAAGTGAGATTTCCTCCTTTATGAGTATTACTTTCTATTATCTGGGAATTGTATTGACTTAACTCCTGGCACGAAGCTACACTCGATCTTCATCTCCTCATGTTTTTCACCTTCTCTACATTTATTATTAATGGTCAATGCTGCTGGGATGTGGTCACGTTGTTTGCGCTACTTACTCCTGCAAGTATCACCATATCCTCTTTTATTTAATACGTTGTTGTACAAATTATATTTTGATTTAAAGCCACTTTCATTCCTACAGAGTTTACATTTACTTTCTTAAATCTCTTTCAGTGTTTTGCAAACTGAGTTTTATTTTCTAAACTTAATGTAGTTAAAATAAGAAAGTGAGGTGATGACATAAGAGTGGAGAGAAAGAGAGAGAGGAGGAAAGGAAAATTGCTCAATCTGGTATTTTCTGCTTTTTTTTAAATTTATCATTTCCTCTATTTAGAATCACCTCAACAAACAAAGAAATTTGAAGCTTTTTCAGATAAAGGGGGGGTTAAGAGGAGGGGTGGTTGGCCAGCGTGGGTGTGATGCCTAAATGGCGACGATGGCTGATGACTCAGGTGATGTGTCATACTCTATGCTATAAAAGGGAACTTTTACATTTGTCCACACAAACACAATCACTCACACGTACTGTACTCACACTGGACTCGGAGGAAGGTTTGTTTACTACGGCAGGAGCAGAAACATGAAATGTAAGTTGGTCTAAGTTACTTTTTAAAGAAAGAGGGGGAGGTGTGAGTGACTGTGAGAGTGAATGTTTGTGTGAAGAAGGGGGGCTTTGCTGCACGTGGTCTCCTACTTTTACTTTCAGCCTAAAGGAAGTGGAGAGAGGGAGGCAATGAATGGATGGATGAATGATTAAATCCCGGGCAGTCTGTGGCTGAAATTAAACTCAAAGTGATATTTGAAGTGCTTAAATGTTTAATTTGAACTCTAGAAATCAGCCACTGTTTAGTTTCAGGTTGGGCTGTGATTGGCTGGTGCTGTGTGTGTGTCAGTGTGCATGTCTTTGTGTCTTAGGGGTTTCCCGGGTTGTTCGAGGTGGTTAAAGAGTAGATCCTTAGATTAAAAACAGGTACCCACAGATAAATGTGAAAAGTAAAGTTGCTTAAGTACACAAGGACTTTAAGCTGAATGGGCTTAGGGTATTAAAAGTGTTGTAGAAAGTAGCATTTGTTTGGCTGAAATAACACCCTACTCTTTAATGCTGACACATGAATTTACAGGCAACTGCTCTGTAATGTAACTGCTCAAGGTGGAAGAGAAACGCTCTGAGTAATAACTATATCACTCAGATAATGAAGTAGTCGCATAAGGTTGTACAAAATGTAACTACTCAGGTATTTAAAATAGTACTGCATGAATGTGTTTAGTTAGTTTTTGCTCAGTTATAAAACTGTGCTGTGTAGGATCAAAGTGAAGTAAAATAACTTCACATTATGGTGCTGTTTTAGTGTTTTACAGAGGCAATCATCACGTCAACACAGCGTATGAAAGTCATAAATTGTTGTTGTTGCTTAGCCGAGAGATTTGGCAACACTACACGTGGACTTCCTAGTTTCTGACAGCAACAGGAATGAATGGCTGCGTAACTGGCGCACATATTTATGAATGAAAAGGAAGCTGTGGTCACTGGGCAGTGAAGGTGGGCTCTGTGGTTTTCCTTTGTAGTCAGCAGAAAAAACAAAAAAACGTTTTGACAGTTTTACTGACATGAAAACACCACTTTTTCCTTTGCTTTCACGCAGTCGTCTGGAGGTAATCAGTCACAGTGACAGGAGGAAAAATAACTTTAGTTGTGCGGTCATCTTAGGTTTTATAACATTAAAAGCTGGAGTCGTTTTAAAGAACTGAGCCTGTGTTAACTGTATTCTCTTTATCTGTGCTTTGGGAATGATATTTCCTTGATGCTCATCCAATCAGTTTGGTATTGCATGACACTCTTACTAAGTCAAAAACTACTGGATCATCAACTAACTATGAAAACATGATGACTAGTAACAAAAACAGGAGCCGTGAGGCACCCAGAGTCTGTTTATCCAAAGGTTGTGAAAGCTACTAGTCAGGTCATCAGACAGTGATGTCATCATTGCACATCACCAGCATTTACTGTAATGTAATTTGCAGACTCACTATAAGGGGCCTGAACCCTGATTCTGCTGTGGAGTGAGTCAGCTCATATACCAGCTTGCCCAAGTGGACAAAAATGGTACTGCAACTCATCCACTCAAATTTTTTTTAAACCTCAATATAAACAACCTCAGTATTCACATTATGCGAATCATTATTACTGCAGTGGTTTTATCCATTATGGTCCAAAGCTACTTGGGAGATTTCAAGCTTGGCTATGATTATTTTTTTTATAATGTTGTAGTGAGTATGAGTCATTTTAAGGAATAGGTTTCCCCTTGTTATGCTACATAAATGGATTAGCTGTATGGGGCAGAGCAAAGATTAATTCCAGTGAAGTCTGTATGTAGCTACATACTGGAGTGATGTCACCCTGTCTCCAGTGAACCTAAGTAAACAGGATGCTGCAGGAATTGAAACTGCACACAGTCATGCTCTGCAATTTGAAAAACAAAGTAAAATAAATGTTTGGCTAATTTAATATTATTAGGAATTGTTAATTAAATCAATACCACTTATATTTAAGAATCCTTTTCTTCCCCAATTTAGCTGATTTTTATAGCATGAAAATCAGCAATATTTTGACATTTACATGCTTTTGTTCATGTCAGGTTTGGATAGATTCAACAATTTAGTGCTGCAAGAACCTCACAAGTTATGTATATGCTACACAACAAACCAATCAGCCACAATGACATGGCACATCTGTTAGGCCGGCAGAGTGGCATTTTCAGCACACTTCCTGTTGCATTTCTGTGTAACAGTAATTTGAAACTGGGCTTACGTATATTTCTATTGAACTTTTGTACTTTCCAGGATGCTAGAGTGTAATCCTACCAGCAGGACTCATGGCCTTCTTCTCTTGTTTTTTTTTCTGTTCTTTGGCTTTTCTTGAGTCAAACAATTTCTTTCTTCTAGTTTCAACTCTGCACTTGTAGCTCTGTAAAATTGTACCTATAAAAAGAAGTTTAGGCAAACAGACGCTGAAGTTCAAATCCCGAATGATCCAGAGGGACTGAACTTACACCTCACTTTGTAAGTGCAACTTTCACACTCTTGTAACTCTACTCCAGGTCTCCACCTCCACTCCCTAAAAGGAAGTATGTGGCTTGTAAATAGTAAACACTTTTGGATTGTTATAGTGTAAAGCTTTTTAGAGGAGTCAGGTTATAATTTTATAGGGTTTGTCACCTTAGGGTGCCACCTTTTAGACTACATAATCATTTGATTCACTGTTAATATACAATTATATATTTATGTTTATCTAAAGCATCCAAAGTGTTTTTTATTTTAGTTTTGGTAGAAAAACGTATAAACATGTTCTTAGTGCTGTCACTCTGTTCCTGAAACAAGCTGTTTGAAAGCCAAACGTCACACTTCAGCTATTACAAAGTTACCATTTTCTTGTTTATTTGATGGTTTTGGAGAAAGATGACAGAGCTCCTCCCGCCACTCAGGCTTTACACTTTATTCACTGGACGGTCT